CCGTACTTCTCTATCTATTGCTATTCTTTTCTCTGGGTACGTTTGGGACGCAAAGTTCTCCTTGTTTTCCACCTGTTTCTGTGCTTGTCTCCCTTGTTGATCCATTGCTCAGTGTTCTTCGTTTTGGTTGCTTTGGGGAAAGGACTCTCCTTGTGTCCCATCTGTTTCTGCGCCCGTCTCTCTGCTTGTTCTCAACTTGTTTTGACACTTCTTTCTTCGTTGCTGTTGTTCTCTCTGGGTGCTTCCGGCGCACAGGATGCTCATCGGATGCTCCTTGTCCATTGTCTGTTTCCGTACTTGTCGTCCTTGTTGTCTCCATTTCGTGCCCTTCTTTCTTTCTTTCTTTTCTTTCTTTCTTTCTTTCTTTCTTTTTTCTTTCTCAATCTCTCTCTCTCTCTCTCTTGCTCTTCTTCTTTCTAGGTGCTTGTTGGGACCCCTGATTCTTCTCGTCTGCCATCTGTTTCCGTACGTGTCCTCCTTGTTCTCTCCAAGTTGTATACTTGTCTCCCTTGTTCTCTCCAAGTTGTATCCTTCATTCGCTCCCCATTGCTATTCTTCTCTCAGGCTGCTTTGGGCAGAATGCTTCTCCCTACTTGTCTTCCTTCGTATAAGTCTCCTTGCTTGTCTCTGTGTGCTTTGGGACGAAACCTATTATCCGTTACATTCCCTTACCCTCTCTCTACTACATGTTTCCCTCCAAGCGGTCTCCTTATCCTCTCTCCACTACCGTGCTTCTTTCTAGGTCTCCAGCATTTTGGGACGGAGAAGAGAGCTTTTCTCCTCTTCCCTTTCTTTCATTACTTGTTCCGCTTGTCTTTCCCAGTGCCTTCTTCCCTTCTCTCCTCATTACTGTTGTTCTTTTTGGGTGCTTTTGAGACACAGGACTTTCATTGTCTGCAGTTTGTTTCCTTATTTTGCTACATAGTTTAATATTGGTGGCTTTTTTGGGTGGATATATAGTTTAGTATTGATGATTTTTGGGGTCAACAAAGTATATAATAAGATTCTCAGAAAGGGAACCACACACACATGGTTTAGCATGTTTTTTAAAACATAGTTTAGTATGCTTTGAACACATCTTTTAGTATTGACATTTTTTGCATATATAGATTACTATTGGGAGCTCAGCTTCTCGTTTTGGAGTATGCATTTTTTGTTTTAATTTGTTGAATTTTTGAATTCAAAAAAAAACAAAAAATATGAAATTCCCAGAAAGAGAGCCAGACTTAGTTTAGCAGTAGTTGTTTTAAAATGAATACATAGTTTAGTATTGTTTAAATGCATAGTTACATAGTTTAGTATTGAGTTGTTTCTTGCATATATAGATTACTATTGGGAGCTAAGCTTCTCACTTTTGGGGTATTCATTTTTTTTCATTTTTTTGATTTTTTTGAATTTGAAAAGATGAAGACATGGAATTAAAAAATATTATAGAAACTAAGGAAAAAAAGAAATATATATTTAAGAATTGATGGTGTTATGACACAATATTAATAATGTAAGGATCAGAAAAATAACATAAAAGATAAAAAGTGAAAAAATATGGATTAAAAAGAAACGCCTATGAAAAAAAATGAATTCAAAAAATTCAAAAAAACAATAACAAAATGAAATTCCCAGAAAGAGAGCCAGACTTAGTTTAGCAGTAGTTTTTTTTCAAATACACAGTTTCGTATTCGGATTTTTTTTGAATACATAGTTTAGTATTGAGTTTTTTCCATATACTGTATAGATTACTATTGGGAGCCCAGCTTCTCACTTTTGGGGTATTCATGTTTTCAATTTTTTATAATTTTTGAATTCAGAAAATTCAAAAAAATCAAAAAATATGCATTCACATTTTTTGATTTTTTTGAATTTCGAAAAAACAAACAAAATATTCAAAAAAAATAGCCAAAAGCGAAAATATTTTGAATATTGTGTTCTTTTTTGAATTTCAAAAAAATCAAAATATTCAAAATATAATGAACTTCTCCCAAAAGTCTCGCTGAACCTCTTTTTTGGTGATGTCATTATTTTTTGAATATATTGAATATTTTGAGTTTTTTGAATTTCAAAATATTCAAAATATTCAAAAAAATTAGCCAATACAAAAATATTTTGAATATATTGAATTTCAAAATATTCAAAAAATTTAGCCAAAACAAAAATATTTTGAATATTTTGAGTTTTTTGAATTTCAAAATATTCAAAATATTCAAAAAATTTAGCCAAAACAAAAATATTTTGAATATTTTGAATTTTTTGAATTTCAAAATATTCAAAATATTCAAAATATAATGAACTTCTCCCAAAAGTCTCTCTGAACCTCTTTTTTGGTGATTTCATTATTTTTTAAATATTTTGAATATTTTGAATATACTTCGAACGTTTTGGGGTAAACCCCTACATTGTAAAGTGTATAGCTTTCCTGTTGACACCGGTCATAGAATAATGCCAATTTTTGGCTCAAGTAATTGGTGTAAAAGGTGCGCCTTTCGTTGTTTACTAGGTTAAGAGCCTTGGTTGAGCCATAGTGCAACTTCTTGAATCTCGATCTCTGTTTGCTAGTTGAAAACTACTCCGACATCTTGATCTCTGCAGGTTGCAACCATAGAAGGGGAAACCCCAGTGAAACGCCCCCGCCGTGAGCGGGGGGGACACAAGACAAGAGCACAGAAAGAACGCAGAAGAGCGACCCTAGCGGGGGAGCGTGTTGCAGCTGAAGACTTCCCTTTGACACCAAACTACGGTGCGCAATTGGATAGTAATCCTAAGGCTGTAGCAGCTCCTTCAGCAAGTGCCCGAAGTTCCTGGGAACCAGATCCTGTTGAGGAAGGTGAAGTTAAGAGCTCTGTTGAGCCTGAGTCGGCTCGAAGTTCGGCAGGTGAAGCAGCAGTTGGGCTGACGATTGATCTCACAACTGAAGTCACACAACAACGGTTGCAACCAAGTTCGTCCCTGCCATCTGGACCTGCGGATGGGCCAAGGCCTTCATCATCAAGTTCAAGGGGAACAGCATCAGGTTCCCGTGCTTTGCTGCTTTCTAGACTGTCCCGGAGTCGAATCTTGATCCTTTCCGATTTTAACGGAGTGATCAATTGCGATCAATTCCTTCGGAAGACATCGGAAGGACGAGAGGAGGCTGGGCAAAAGGTGACGTTGAAAAACAAGCAGGCAGTCCTGAGACTGCTGACTCACGCACCTGAAATTCAGTTGGGCATTCTCAGTTACATCGGTCGGTGGAGCACTAAGAAGAGATTAGGCTGCATCGAAGCGATCAAGGAGCTAAACCAGTACCTGCTAGACAGAAACTGTTCCAAGACTGTGGGGCTGCGGATCACAGATAGCCCTGACGAAAAGTCTGGAATCGTGTGTCGGGTGAAGGCGCATAGCTTCGTGGACGATCGCTATAGCACTGTTCAACAAACGGTGAACGAGGTTTGGGACAAGAAACTTCAATCGGAATTTTTCTTTCTGTCGGAGTTCCCACCTCGGAACCGGTACCTTCGGCACTGCAGGTCGTTTGAGGAGTTCGTTAGCCAGGTCTTGGCGGCTCGGTTCGTACCAACAGTAGACGATCCTGTGTGGACTACTGAGTTTCCACCACCTGCCGCTGAATCTGCGTGATCTTCGACACTTGCAGGGCTTAGTAAAGGTTTTCTTTGACTTGAATGACATCTTCATCTAGCCCCGATTTTTCTTTGGATTCATCTGTTGGGGGATTACCTGTAACCAAGAGTTGGGAATCTTCTGCTGGAGGTAGCCGTAGTTCATCCTCATCGGGGTCACGAGTTCGGAAGAACACACAGAAACCCAACCCAAAACAGGACCTAGGGAGACCATCCGCGCCCCGCGCGAGGCTCCCACCAACAAGGGGTAGGGTTAAACGTGAGGAGAATATGGCAAACTTTTTGACAGCTGACCAATATCCCCAACTAATGGACCAAGATGGGAATGGGGTTGGAGAGTCCGGTCCCTTAGTTTCAGCGGCATTGCAACCAAGCGCGGAGCCTAGCCCTTTTGAGGAAAGTCGGAGTCCTAATTCTGGGGAAATCCATGGGACATTCCAGCAATTCGTGTATGAGGACCAACGACAGGTTCATATCCACGCGCCATCGCCAGACCCGGCTTTGGTGGCAGCGGCTTCTCAAGGGGTAATGACGGCTAGGGACATGGCAGCACAGGTGGTTTTTGATGCCCAGAGCCAATCTATGGAAGTCAGAGATGCTGCAGCTCATGCAGTATTGGAAGCTCGGACCGAAACCCTAGAAGTTCGGGAACAAGCTGCCCAGGCAGTTGTTGAGGCTCGGTCTCAGACCATGGAGGTTGGGATGGCATCACATGTTCAAATCACAGCTTTGAGGGAAGAGTTGACACGAAGGGATGCTGCTTTGGCAATTGCAACTGAAAGGATACGGGTTTTGGAGATGCAGTTGAATGAAAGAGTCCAAGAAATTGAACAGCTTAGGGCTGCACTTTTGAATGACCCTAATGGCACGGGAAATCTTACGGTCTTGTTCGAATCACGCATCAAATATATTGAGGAATCCCTTAATCAGATGAAAATTCGACCACATCATTCTTTTGAACCTCGAATTGGATCTTGCGAAAGAAAGATTGACTTTGTTGGGAAACGCATGGACAAAATTCTTCATGAAATAATAGAAGATAGGTCCCGTTTCCAGGACTTGCATGCCCAATTTCAAACATGGCAACAAGACCAATGGTGGGACCAACCCGAAGGGATAGTTTCACCGAAAGGACAAAGTCCGAAAAACCACCAAGGACCTTCAAACCCGGAAGAGTTTGATCTTTTTGGGGATGGGGAATATGATGCTGAAAGTGGAAAAAGTCCTGGGGAAGAAGAGAGGGACCTTGAACTGAGATCTTTGAGGATGAAGGACCTTCACCATCTCAAAATTCCGTCTCTGCCCACTGATGCTGGGTCTTATAGACAATGGAAAAATAGTCTTAGGACCAACGTGATGGCTTATGACAGGTCAACGGACGGTGCAGTCATGGGATGGTTGTCAAAGGCCTTAGCGGCCAAGTCGGAAGCCGAGAGGGCTGAGCTGAAGTCCTCGTCAGGTGACTTTCCGCGTTTTGACCGCATCTTGGCTGCGGCGTTTTGTCGTCCAGAGCACCTCAGGTCTTCTTTTGGGGTTCGTTTCAACGCGTACTTGGATGAATGTGAACTGGGGGGTAGTGAAGTAAGGGGTAGGGTCATGTTGAATTATGTAGCCCGCGAGTATGACACCGACAGGAACTCTGGGGCGATCATGACAGCATTAGAGCTCTACAACTTACCTGCACCTCAGGACAATGCATCAGCTTTGCGACAATGGAGAGATAAAGTGCGGTATGTAATGAACCAGATTGGTCCCAATGATGCTCCCGAACCAAGATTGTTGGCTAAATGGTTGTATGATCGCATGAAGAAACATCCGTTGATGCGCAGGCATATTGATCAGGTACGTGATGCCCCCCAAGATAGCGAAGTCAAGTCTTTTGCATGGTTGTGGGATAAGATAGAAAGTTGTATTCAAGAAAGTCAGTTGGAACAAAATGCGCTTTCTATTCAAGAAGCTTTGAAAAGGGGACCCACAAAGGTGAAGAAAGAGGAGGCTTCGGGAATGGCAGCGAAAGCTGGTAAATCCCAACCAAAGGGAAAGGGTGATGCTACTAAGGGAAAGAGCAAGGGTGATGGTAAGGGAAAGGGTTCAAGAGGTGGTTCTCCCTCCAAAAGTTCTCAGGACAAACCCGAAAAACCCCAATCCAAACCATCCGAGTGTCCGTGAGAAGTGCCCTTTTAAGCATGATGGATCATCGGCATCCAGTTCACATCCCAAAGCATCCCCCAAACCGAAGGCTGTTCCTGCTGTTGCTAAAGCAGGTTTAGTTGCGCTTCTTGCAACCACCGTTGCAGCTGCGACCGCAACACCAGTTCTTCAGGGCCCATCCAACCATTTCATTGATTTTGTTGGGGATACTGGTGCTGGAGAATGGTTAGGAAGCCTTTCAGCTTTGGGTCGTCAGGGCGTTCATCAGTCGGAAGTTGATGCATGGATAGGTCCCTCTTCATATCCCCTGAAATTCACGACGGGGGGTGGTACCCAACCTGCATCCTCTACCATTGGGGTTTGGACGCCAGAATGTCAAAGTGTGCAAAATGTGTACATGTTGAACGATTGCCCCATGGTCATGTCAATTGGTCATATGGTTGAGAATGAGGGTTTTAGTTTTCATTGGGAGCCATCTCGCCCTCCCTGGCTTCAAAGCCCCACCGGTGAATGCATTCCCGCCAATCGTGTTGATCATCATGTCCCAATCTTTCGGTTTCAGTGTTCATTCCAATATGGCCTCCCTTCGCTTTCCACGCCGGGGGGGGGAGTCAGAGCTTCAAGAACTTCTTCAAGGACCTTCCGAGGCCTCTGAACCTTCAGAAGCTGTATCTGCGCCACGCGCGGGCGGTGAAGAGGGTGACGAGGAAGACGAAGTTTGGGTTGATGGTTTGCCACCAAATCATTTGATGACTCACTTACCCAAGAGTAACCAGTGTGATACTTGTTTGAGGGCGAAGTTGTATGAAGCACCTCTTAGGAGACGTGAAAACCAAAGGGATGTGTTGAAAGATGCTAGATCAAGGGAAGACCCCAAGGGACCCATGGAAAGAGTTGCAGTAGATTTTGTCATCGCTCAGGACTTAGTCAGTCAAACCGGTGAAAAGGTAGCATTGGTTTCAGTAGATAAATATTCAGGGATGATCGGTGTCCATCCTTGTGAAGACCGGAGCTCCGAAGAAGTTGAGAAGGCCATGAGGCACTTCTTTGGGACTAAGGCCATCGAAACGGTTGAAGTGTCTTCAGATAGGGAAAAGGGAATCCTCAAAGCAGTTGAAAATTTGGGATTTGTAGCTGATCCATCACCACCAAACATGAAAATTAAGAATCCTGTTGCTGAGGCAGCCATCAGAACTCTAAAAGGGTCCTGTTCATCATTGATGCTTCATGCGGGGATGAGTTTTGACATGTGGCCTCTGGCCGTCAAATATTTTGAGTTCAGCTACAACGTCAACACAATATCAAGAACTGTTTTGGATCCTCCTGTCACTTGTTTTGAGGCGCTCCATGGTTATCCTTATGAGGGCTACATGATCCCATTTGGTGCTCTTGTTTGGTTTCGGGACACGGGGGGAAAGAGTTTTGAACCAAAGGGTTCACCCGCTGTGTACCTCGGGGCTGAATTCATCAAAGGGATGAAATACAAAGGAAACCATAAAGTTTGGCCATTGAATCATGTTGAAAAGGGATCCATTTTTGTCTATGTTGTTCGCACTCTTGCTTTTCCAGACGGAAAGTGGCAGTTTCCACTTCGCGAGGTTGGGGATGACAGGGGAATGGGCCCGATTGACAGCTTAGTTCCGCCGCCCGAACTGGAAGATATCCAGGGCGAAAGGGACTTGGAACGGGAAGGTGACGATGAACGGGTAGCTCCCAAAGCTTCATCTGGGTCTAAAGTCAAAGATGCTGATCCACTTCCCAAGAAAAGGAACCGATCAATCACGGCTTTAAGAATTGCTATCCATGGAGCAACCCCTAAATGTCAGGGATGTAAAGAGGGTTCTTATAGCCATTCGAAGATGTGCAGAGATCGCTTCAACGGGTTGATCGAAATTTGTGAGCCTGCAGTGAAGGACAAAGGACCTGTGTCAGGAATTCCTGACGAAAGGGCGTCGGACATTGAGGCAAGACTTTCTCGAGGTCCCGAACCTGCGCCTCGCGCGGTTGGGGTGGAGGAGGAAGCAGAGGATCAGGGAAGTTCTGGGTACGCCGCAACTACCCCAATTGATTCTGAAATCGGAGATTTTGAGTTTGAGGACCCTGATGCTATTCAGATCTCCGAGGACAAAGATGTCCAAGAAGTTCCAGAAATGTCTGGGGCAATGGTTGCATCTGGTAGAAAATCATCCGAAATGGTTGAGATGCTTGACAAAGGTCCTTCAGCTGTTGCTTCAATTTTCTTTGATGCCATAGAAGTTGGGGGCGAGGAGGAAATGCTTTTGTCAGCAAGATTGGCGAATGCCATGAATGCTTTGCCACGGCCAAAGGTCAAAAGGTCAAAGAAGAACATTGTTTGGTTTGTTGAGTTCGCGTGTTCCAACAACAGTGAATGCTCCAAACTTGCACATGAGAGAGGCATACCTTACATTGGGTTTTCCAGGGATGTGTGTGACCTTTCAAACCCCCATGATATCGAACAAATCAAATTATGGGCTAGGGAGCGAATCAGTCTTGGGGAATCATTCCATTTGTGGGCTCTTTGCCCTACGCTGCATGGCCATCGTGGCAGAATTTGAATGCCGCAACCTTAGATGAGGAGTTCAGGCAGAGCCTCCAGGAACGGAGGGACCAATCTCGAAAGATGGTTTCAAGCTTCTCGGAGTTGACGGATTTGGCTGTGGAGTCGGGGGGATCATCATCGTTTGAGTGGCCTAGGTATTGTAGCGGTTGGGTAGAAGTCGGCGAACTGGTTGACATGATTGTCAAGCATAACATGTTCTCTTCTCTCCCATGTGGATGCTCATTCTCTTTGGAAATTAAGGGGAAACGGCCCAAGAAACCATGGAGAATTGTCAGCACTAATGCAAGGTTATCTGCTGAGATGGATATCCATAGGTGCAGACATCCGAAAGGGTTCTCACATGATGCGTTGGATGGGGGTAAATTGGCTTTCTTGAGCGGATTTTACAACCGTGAAATGTCCATTTCAATTCTTTGCTCATTGTTCCCGAGAAATTCCTTGAGGGTATTCCTAGTTTCCCAGTTTTGGCTGAAAATGAAAAGGTTGACCAACTAAAGATTGAAAGAATGATGGAACAACTAGGGGCCGGGAAATGCTTGCACAATGCTCAGGCACTGGTTCACAGGGTGTTGTCAAGGAAAGAGATCCAACAGGACCCAAAGGCCATTGAGTCCATCAGGAAAGAGGTTGAGGACATCAGGGCAATGGGCGTCTGGGACGACAACAGTGTGACTGAGTACGAACAGGTGAAAAGCCAGGCCAAGAGGAACGGTGAAGAGATTCACTTGGCTGAGGTAATGGAGATAGGAAGTATCAAAAATGATGAGCTTGGCCCATCACTAAGTCAACATAAAGGGCGTTTGGTATTCAGAGGGGATTTGACCAGAAACCAAGACGGACTACCCGCAAAATTTCGGGAACTTCATAGTCAGCCTGCTTCAATCATGACAATTGCGATTGTGCTTTTCTATGGCATGTTGAGTTCTAATGTTGTATACATCGCTGACGCGAAAAAGGCTTATCTCCAGGCCTACCTTCGCACGACCATCCCGACATGGGTAGTGCTTCCACCCCTTTGTTGGCTGCCAAGTTGGTTAAAAAAATACAAGAGACCCACAGTCAGACTCCTTCGGCCTCTTTATGGACACCCTGAAGCGGGGGATGATTGGTTTGATTACTTTTCCGACACCGCCAAGGGGATGGGACTTAAGACGATTGAGGGTTTTCCTTCACTGTGGTGGGATGCAACCACGCGCGTGCTGGTGGCCGCATATGTGGATGACATCGTTTGCGCAGGAGGGGCAAAGGAAGTTGAATTGTTTTGGGTTTCTTTGAAGAAGAAAATCGAGATCGATGGGGTTGAAGTTCCAGGGAGGTATTTAGGACGAGACCATGACATCCGTAGTATTGAGAATGGTAAGACCATGTTCATGTCCATGGAAAAGTACTGTAGATCAGCGGTTGATTTGTACCTTCAACATGTTGGAGCTGTTGCATTAAAATCTGTTTCAACACCCTATCTCAGTGACTCTGAGCTGAATGTGAACGATTGGGAGTCACAAGGGTTTCTCGGTGAAAAGTCAGCTTCAATTTTAATGAAGATATTGTGGCTTGCCCGACTAAGCAGGCCAGACCTGTCACACGGTGTGACAAAACTGGCTTCAGGAATCAGTCGCTGGTCGGTAAACCACGACAAGATGCTTCACAGGTTGGTAAGTTACATGAATGCCACTGCTGACTACGGGGTTCACTGTTTTGTCAACGGCAACCCATCGGATATCTCTTTCCATCTTTACACGGATGCAGATTTGGGGGGTGATGTATGCACAATGAAATCTCACACTGGGATATTTCTTTGCATTGAATGCCCGAACGGAACACTCTTCCCAATATCTTGGTCATCCCGTCGACAGCAATGCGTTTCCAAATCAACCACAGAATCTGAATTGGTTGCTTTGAATGATGGATTATATGGTGACGCGCTCCCAGTTCAAACAGTTCTTCAACTGATCTTTGAAAGGGATATTCCTTTGGTTCTCCACGAAGACAACCAGGCATGCATTCAAATTTTGAATGCAGGTTACAGCGCTAGATTAAAATCCATGAATCGAACGCACAAGTTGTCAATCGCCGCGATTTCCGAAACAATTAAGGACCTGAATCTCGAGCTGAGGTATACTGTTTCTGAAGAACAGCTTGCAGACTTGTTTACTAAGGTTTTGGCCCGTGTGAAATTCACCGAGGCACTCCGAAAGCTAAGAATCGGACCGGCTTCTCTCACCTTTTGACTTAACCTTAATACCCAGAGGCTTGGGCTAACCTGCGCCTTCGCGCGGTGACCCGATCTAAGGAATTTCCTCTTGCTCTGATCACTGGCAGCGGCTGGCATTGACTTCATCTGCTTCAGCGCTGTGCTGCGTGGTGCAATCATTGCTTGAGACTATAGGCCAAATGGCCTCACCGGCGCCACTGCGCGGGAAAAGTGAAAGCAAGAGTGTGGGAGAAGGTCAGGTAAACCCGAAGGGTTGCAATCTTAGCTAAATTACTGCATGTTTTTGCGTACAGCTTTGCAAAACGTTTTCTTCCCGAACTGGTTGGTTAAGGGCAAATTCTACGCCGGGTATGAAACCCTGGCTGGGGGGGGTTCCGTCCCTGATGCGCTTTTTTGCATCTGCGCCAGCGCGGGTCAATTATCCACACACCAACCGGTCCGGGGCGGGGACTTCGAACGTTTTGGGGTAAACCCCTACATTGTAAAGTGTATAGCTTTCCTGTTGACACCGGTCATAGAATAGTGCAAATTTTTGGCTCAAGTAATTGGTGTAAAAGGTGCGCCTTTCGTTGTTTACTAAATATTTTGAATTTTTTGAATTTAAAAAAAAATATTCAAAATATTCAAAAAAATTAGCCAACACAAAAATATTTTGAATATTTTAATTTTTTTGAATTTCAAAATATTCAAAATATTCAAAAAATTTAGCCAATACAAAAATATTTTGAATATTTTGATTTTTTTGAATTTCAAAATATTCAAAATATTCAAAAAATTTTGCCAATACAAAAATATTTTGAATATTTTGAATTTTTGGAATTTCAAAATATTCAAAATATTCAAAAAAATTAGCCAACACAAAAATATTTTGAATGTTTTGAATTTCAAAATATTCAAAATATTCAAAATATAATGAACTTCTCCCAAAAGTCTCTCTGAACCTCTTTTTTGGTGATTTCATTATTTTTTGAATATTTTGGATATTTTGAATATTTTGAATTTTTGGAATTTCAAAATATTCAAAATATTCAAAAAATTTAGCCAATACAAAAATATTTTGAATATTTTGAATTTTTTGAATTTCAAAAAAATCAAAATATTCAAAAAAATTAGCCAATACAAAAATATTTTGAATGTTTTGAATTTTTTGAATTTCAAAATATTCAAAATATTCAAAAAATTTAGCCAACACAAAAATATTTTGAATATTTTGAATTTTTTGAATTTCAAAATATTCAAAATATTCAAAAAATTTAGCCAATACAAAAAATATTTTGAATATTTTGATTTTTTTGAATTTCAAAATATTCGAAATATTCAAAAAATTTAGCCAATATAAAAAAAATTGAATATTTTGAATTTTTTGAATTTCAAAATATTCAAAATATTTAGCCAATACAAAAATATTTTGGATATTTTGAATTTTTTGAATTTCAAAAATTTCAAATTATTCAAAAAATTTAGCCAAGACAAAAATATTTTGAATATTTTGAATTTTTTGAATTTTTTTGAATTTCAAAATATTCAAAAAAATATTCAAAATATAATGAACTTCTCCCAAAAGTCTCTCTGAACATCTTTTTTGGTGATTTCATTATTTTTTAAATATTCTGAATATTTTGAATTTTTTGAATTTCAAAATATTCAAAATATTCAAAAAAATTAGCCAATACAAAAATATTTTGAATATTTTGATTTTTTTGAATTTCAAAAAATTCAAAAAATATTTTGAATATTTTGAATTTTTTGAATTTCAAACATTTAAAAAATATTGAAAAAATTTAGCCAATACAAAAATATTTTGAATTTTTTGAATTTCAAAAATTTCAAAATATTCAAAAAATTTAGCCAATACAAAAATATTTTGAATATTTTGAATTTTTTGAATTTCAAAATATTCAAAATATTCAACATATAATGAACTTCTCCCAAAAGTCTCTCTGAACCTCTTTTTTTGGTGATTTCATTATTTTTTGAATATTTTGAAAATTTTGAATTTTTTGAATTTCAAAATATTCAAAAAAATTAGCCAGCACAAAAATATTTTGAATATTTTGAATTTTTTGAATTTCAAAATATTCAAAAAATTTAGCCAATACAAAAATAGTTTGAATATTTTGAGTTTTTTGAATTTCAAAATATTCAAAATATTCAAAAAATTTAGCCAATACAAAAATATTTTGAATATTTTGAATTTTTTGAATTTCAAAAATTTCAAATTATTCAAAAAATTTTGCCAATACAAAAATATTTTGAATATTTTGAATTTTTTGAATTTCAAAATATTCAAAATATTCAAAATATTCAAAAATAAATAAAATGAACTTCTCCCAAAAGTCTCTCTGAACCTCTTTATTGGTGATTTCATTATTTTTTAAATATTTTGAATATTTTGAATTTTTGGAATTTCAAAATATTCAAAATATCCAAAAAATTTAGCCAATACAAAAATATTTTGAATATTTTGAATTTTTTGAATTTCAAAATATTCAAAATATTCAAAAAATTTAGCCAATACAAAAATATTTTGAATATTTTGAATTTTTTGAATTTCAAAATATTCAAAATATTCAAAAAATTTAGCCAATACAAAAATATTTTGAATATTTTGAATATTTTGAATTTCAAAAATTTCAAAATATTCAAAAAATTTAGCCAATACAAAAATATTTTGAATATTTTGAACTTTTTGAATTTCAAAATATTCAAAAAAATTAGCCAATACAAAAATATTTTGAATATTTTGAATTTCAAAATATTCAAAATATTCAAAAAATATTCAAAATATAATGAACTTCTCCCAAAAGTCTCTCTGAACCTCTTTTTTGGTGATTTCATGATTTTTGAAATATTTTGAATATTTTGATTTGTTTGAATTTCAAAATATTCAAAATATTCAAAAAATTTAGCCAATACAAAAATATTTTGAATATTTTGATTTTTTTGAATTTCAAAAAAATCAAAATATTCAAAAAAATTAGCCAATACAAAAATATTTTGAATGTTTTGAATTTTTTGAATTTCAAAATATTCAAAATATTCAAAATATAATGAACTTCTCCCAAAAGTCTCTCTGAACCTCTTTTTTGGTGATTTCATTATTTTTTAAATATTTTGAAAATTTTGAATATTTTGATTTTTTTGAATTTCAAAATATTCAAAATATTCAAAAAATTTAGCCAATACAAAAATATTTTGAATATTTTGATTTTTTTGAGTTTCAAAAAATTCAAAATATTCAAAAAATTTAGCCAATACAAAAATATTTTGAATATTTTGAATTTTTTGAATTTCAAAATATTCAAAATATTCAAATAATATTCAAAATATAATGAACTTCTCCCAAAAGTCTCTTTGAACCTCTTTTTTGGTGTTTTTTTTTCATATTTTGAATATGTTGATTTTTTTGAATTTCAAAAAAATCAAAATATTCAAAAAAAATAGCCAATACAAAAATATTTTGAATATTTTATTTTTTTTGAATTTCAAAATATTCAAAAATTTTTGCCAATACAAAAATATTTTGAATATTTTGAATTTTTTGAATTTCAAAATATTCAAAATATTCAAAAAATTAGCCAATACAAAAATATTTTGAATATTTTGAATTTTTTGAATTTCAAAATATTCAAAATATTCAAAATATAATGAACTTCTCCCAAAAGTCTCTCTGAACCTCTTTTTGGCGTCTGGGAGATTGCTTTCAATTTGAAATGGAATCAAATAGTCAACGGTCAAATAGTACATGAAGGTCCATCGTACATATATATATATATGTGATATGTATATTATCCATGATTATCCATACATTCCAATTTTCATCAATTTCTGACCTTTCTCCCAGTCGCCACCCATCTTGTCGTTCATCAAGGCAAACCAGTCGGCCACCCAGAAGATGAATTGCCCACCAGCCTGACAGTCGTTCAGTTCCAAGACAATTTGGGCTTCCAATATCTTCGAAGATGTTCCAATCACATCCGAAACAAAAAAACACGGATGATTATTGGCCTCAAAAAAAATCGAAACGGGTGTGAGAAAAATATAGAAAAATGATTGGATCCCCAGCAAAAAAGGACATCCATATAGAAATCCTATGAGCTTAGGATCCTTTTCTTTTTGCTTCCCATGATGCAGATGACAATTTTGAGGCAGTTCAATCAGTGCTGGCTCTGATCGCAAGCAAAAAATTGGCACCAGAACTGGGAAGGTCTAGAAGATCAATGAAAAATAATGTCAACCCCGGATTTTGCTAAACCCTGGTTTATTAATTAGGGGGGTACTCCTCCAATAGTCATAATTTGATACTTAAATGGTACCCTCCCAATTAAACAATCTAGGGGTTTATTAATCCAGGGTTGACATTAATCAAACAAAAATACACGAAAATAACCTGAACGTTCCTGTAAATATCTGTAAATCAAGATATAAATATGGATAAATATGCTGGAATTCATGGGGTTGTCCTGTCAATTGACCCCAGAGTATACCCGCTTACCTACTGTCAAGCATCTCTTCCGTAATCAAACACGCCTGGAAATTCATGGAAATTCCATATAAATGAGGGTTTTTAATGTTTTTTTTAATGGGACAATCATGGAACTAAATGGGAGATTTCCCAGTGGTCATGTTTGATGAAGATACCACAGAACCCGAAAAAAATAAACAGATCCCTTCCGAAAAAAAAAAACACATCTTCACACATCTTCCCATTTTTGCAGGGTTCCATGGCTTCACCGCCGCAAAATGTGGGGCCTTTGTGCACTTGTTGACACAAACCGACTTGTAGACCTCAGATGTCCGGCGATGTCCGGCTCTCTGGCTTTGAGACGCAAGAAAAACAGTAGAGTCTACCCCTGAAGAGTGTGATTTCACTGGGAACATATGTGTCATGGTCAAAAAAAAATGGCTGGTTGGTGGTTGAGCCTACCCCTCTGAAAAATATGCTCGTCAGCCCATGGCTTCAAAGCTCATAAATCCTGAGTAATGGTTAATAATTGTGGTTAATAATAGTTAATAAATGTTAATAATGGGCTTACCCTCTGGTAAATTAACATAGCGAACTGGAAAATCACCGTTTCTAATGGGGTAAATCAACTATTTCTATGGCCATTTCCAATAGCAAACCAAGCAAACCGTTAAATTACCAGAGGGTAACACTTCACAAAATAACACCTCCAATTGGACCTGGTTCTTGGATGTTCGAGATGTGCCACATGTCGACCAGGGCCATCCAAAAGGTGCGACCAGGGCGCTCCCTGCGCGATGTGCATTCGGCCTGAGGGCTCAAAACCATCGTAGCAGACCTGATTCATGGGCTCTGAAGGATGAGATCCCGAAAGGATCCAGGATCCGTATCTTCCAGTCGCGAAAGTTTGGGCTTTACCGTCGTTAGAACATCAAGAGTACGTCGTAGCTTCGATTTTTGGAAGTGTCTAGGAATATGATATCTGGATATATCTGGATTGTTGTACAAGAATTCACCAACCTCAAACCACCAAAAAAATATACGTTTTTTTTTGATTGTTTTTTTTGGTGACCTCACGGTGAGGTCGTTACAAAAATTACCCAGAACAATTCTATACTTCACAAATTGCAAGCTTGGAAAACCCAATTCATCTTCCGCTTTTTCGCCATGCGATGCGAAAAATTTCACAGTCGTCAGTTTCAGGAATCCAAGTCATCTGATGCTGCGTCAAATGAATGCCTTTCTTTGTCGATTGCTAAAGGCTAAAGATGTCTAAATGTAAAATTGCTCTCAAGCAGTGCTGATGTACATCTTCACAGTTTACCCGGTTACCCTCCCGTAATCGAACGTGGCGATTGAAAATCTACCATTTACCCTCTGGTAAACTAACATAACTATGGAAAATCACCATGTTTAATGGGAAAATCCACTATAAATGGCCATTTTCAATAGCTATGTTAAATTACCAGAGGGTACAACTGAATTTCCCAGCTATAAACCTCCTTTTAGAGTGGACACTGGAGGTGTAGGTGAGGTTTAGGGAACCTCTACGTCTGTGTGCGTGGAAAAAGCATGCATAGGTCATATGGAATAAATAGATGTTCATCCCCCCACAAATAATGGACAAATATGAACAATTAATGAAATTTATAGGTTTTGACCCATCCACATATTATATATATATATTATGTATTATATTTATTATATTACATATATATATATATATGCACTATTATTGTTATATATATATATGTATATAATAATTATAAATTATATATATATGTAATATCATAAATAGTTATTAATAATAATAATATGTATATATATAATATTATTAATATATATATATGATTTCAAAAGAAACAAATAATCAGCTGACACGTTGGATCAGATCAGTATCTAGACAAAGAGCTGGTTATCCTCCATCATCCGTGCATTGGTCATTGGAAAGGCATCACTTAGATCCGCCCAGGATATCAATGGGAGATCTTCAGGATCCTAAAATGGAGGTACCTACCATTTCTAAGGCCTATTTTTTAGGCCTATGTCAGTGAATATCACCACAAAATATGACCTTATATGGTACAGTACCTCCATTTCAGGATCCTGAAATTCCCATTGAAGGATACCAAAGAAGTTTCGGGGCCAGGTACGAAGTTTGGTTTCTTCTCCACCAATTTTCGCAGCTCCGCTTCTGTTTGGCACTCCTTGCCAGAGCTGCTTTTTTGGGGCTGCTTGAAAGCCAGTGTTTGTGTTATAAAGTTATATAGTTATATAGGGAAAGTACTTGGGGGTGCAGCTGGGGTGGAATAGAATGGATATAACTATGGCATGGTAACAACCCTTTATAACCGACATAAGTTAATTGCACCGCAACAGACCCTGCTCTAGCATGAACCATTAAAAATACCTCTTTTCCCATCTCATTACACACGAGTTGGTCGATAGGTTCCCCAATATTGAGATGGGGGTTATTGGGGTTTATTACAACCGGTATGCTACTAGTTGGTTGATAGGTAATCCTCAATAAGCTAGACAATATACCTTCTTATAATAACCCACCAACAATGGTATTCTTGATTGTTCATCTTACACCAATCAAAACCGGCCCGCGGTAGCCATGCAAATCGCAACCTCACGTTTACAATTTTACTGAACTCAGGAACTGTATCATCTGCAATTCTATCTCATTGGCAATGTGAAAAAATCTGCAACTCTTCATAATGTTATACTAGTTGGTGGTATACCTACCCCTCTGAAAAATATAAAAAATAGTCACTTGGGATGATGACATTCCCAACTGTTTCTGGAAAGTCATTCAAATTTCCATGGTTCCAGTCACCACCAACCGTTGTATTTTCTCAACCGTTGGCATGAATTTTGGCATGGCCTCGCCCACGGACCGAATCAGCTCATACTTCCAAGAGGCACCTGGGATGGCGGCGTCAGATTCCCGGAAAATCCGCCGGAATTGTTGCGGACTGGATTCTCAGAGGATTCTCCTGGTCTCCATTGAAATACTACTCTCTGGTAATGTGTTTCTTACAGTTTGCGAACTGGAAAATGGCCATTGAAATAGTTGATTTACCGGTTTTCCATAGTTATGTTAGTTTACCAGTCGGTAGTATTTCAGCAAAAAAATCATCAATCTTTACCTCTCCAGTATTCCAGCGGGGAAACATAATGCAACTTTGAAAGAAACATTGAGGCACAAGAGGCCAAGGCGCTGGACTCTTCTGATTTGGTTGATACATCCTGGCGCAAGCCAGGCAAAATCCACAAGAAACCTTAAGGCAAGTCTTCACCATGACACCTTTTCGGAGTGCCCCTGCAGACTTTGATCACCCCCAAACCGGTTTAGTTGATAGCAATCCGCACCTCAAGTCTGGTTGGTGGTTGAGCCACCTACCCACCTGAAAAATATGAGAGTGAAAGTCAGTTGGGGTTACGACATTCCCAACTGTTTAACTGGAAAGTCATTCAAAATTCCATGGTTCCAGTCACCACCAACCAGATATCTCAGAAAAACCATTATTAACCATCATTAACCATCATTAACCATTAATATCCCAGTCACCACCAACCAGCAAGTAGTTCACCATCATTGAAAAATGGCCAAGATCTTCGACCGGATTCACAGTCCAATCCTCATGATCGGGTCTCTGGTGTCCCCTTAAATAAAGGGGTACCGTTCACCCGTATGTCACCATCAACCAACCATCATGTTTGATGTTAAAATTCTGCTATTGTTTATACATTTACATATGTATCTATCTATCTATATATATATATATACATATTTAGACATATTTGTATGTGCAAATCCACACGACACTGCCATGACATCCCATTTCAAAATAATTTGACTCATCATTATCGACCCTGTTGTTTCCTGATCTAATTAGGCTTAATCACTGAACTCTATTTGGGTATACCAGACAAAACCTAGTCTAGCTACTGCGGATTCCTTAAGATTCCATAACATATTCTGCCAATATTCATCTAAATTTGAGTTAAAAAAACAATTATAGCCCCAAAAACGACAACACCATACCGAGTTGTGGCACGACTCAGTTGCGACTTGAACCAACGTCTTGATCCATAGGGAATGGGGTTTTTGTTTTTTTTTCCGGGTATCATTTGGATGATGTACCCATGAGATGCCCATAAAATGTTTATCATGGTTATATCATGGGTATATCATTCCCCCCTGGTTACTAACATGGGTGTATCATGGCTGGATGATGTACCCTTGATATTGAAAAATTCCCCTCTGGTTACTAACATAGCAGAAAATCCCCTAAGTTGAATCAAGGTTTCTAGCTCGGAAAAAACAACTTCAAAATCGTTATTAAGCACTTAAAAATCCTTAACCACTTAAAAATCATTGACCACTATTACCATCTGGTTATGACTAACATAGCCATGGAAAATCACCATCCCCCAAGTGATTCCCATCAAAAGGGCTTTCCGCTCACCTCAGCACTCTCCACGGCCACGGCCATCCGCAGAGTGCTGGCACTGGCCACGGCGCGGCGCGAGCCGCGAGCGGCAAGGCGGCACGCGATGCTTCCAGCAACCTGGGCCGATGCTGATTTTCTTCGAGATATCTGGCGGGCGAACAATTGGCAAGACATGTGTTCGTAATATGAGTAATGAGTAAATGTATAATATATATATATATATTATCACGTATGTATTATATTCTGAACATTAATGAAAGTATATTATGGAGAACAACAACCATGGGAATACAGCAATGATCATGATCATCACGGCCATGGATCAAAACCAAGCGTTACCCTGCTTTTCAGACTTTATAGCTTATAGTTGTGGCAGTTATGGATCCAGCTGCTGAGTACTCAAAAACACAGGCTTTGGTGTAAACGTAGCCACAAGCCAATCTGTTCACCAATATGTGATAAGATGTGATGCTTACTCCCAACAAATCTGTTCAAACAATAAGCTAATAGTCACAGCAGGTACTGCCCATTTTATGTGGTTGAATGACACAGAAAGTTTCCCGGAGAACCGAACAGGGGAGGAAAAACCGCTCCTGGACATTGCTGACAGGTTGCTGCAAGACCACAACTTCTCTCCAATGTCCAGGTCGCTCTGTGGCTTTGTCCCTGCGCCAAATCGAGAAGGAATTCATCCATGGCCCAAGGCATCCAAGGCGAGTTTTTCTTCGATAAACTCGGCCACGAGGGATTTTTTCACGATATGAGCCGCTTATACTATGATACCCATCCAATCAGAGGTCCTGTTGGTGTTGTACAGCACATCTGACTCATCAATATTCATCAACACCGACAACTCCGACTTCTCCCCAATGTCGAGAGTGATTTGTATGGATTTGCTTCAACGCTCTTGAAGCCAAATCCCATAGCTTCATGAATTCTGGGCTGACGTTGGCTCAACCACCACCCGTGCAACTGAACAACTCATTTGAAAATGTCAAACTTCAAAAGCCAAGTAATTGAGGTTTATTCATAGACGTAAATGAACACCCCTGTTTAACATCAATATCAAGGAATCCTTTCCCCCGTTCATATTTTTCATACCACCCATGGAAACCATGGTGGAATCTATGGTATGGTGGTTGGGATGTTGGTGAACATACTCAACATCTCATTACATCTATATGAATGTACTTATATATATATATAATTGTCTATTATCACACAGTATGTTCATATCATGATCATATTAAAATGATAGTACCATCACATGATTTTCATAGTATGATTTGTTTTTAAACATATATATATATATATCCCATATGATCCACGTATGGTATATTTACCTACATTTGGCTGATTGTTATACCAAAAATGTTGGCATATACCAGCACCGTGGAGCATATTTTGATATGAGCTAGGGGATGGAATATTTCAAGTTGCGAGACCCTCAGCTGAAAAAAAAAGCCAAGCGCCTTGCTTTGGGCGGGTCGGAAAGGCCGAAGCAAGCTGCCGCCTGGCAGCTTATCTGCCGATGTTTCTTGTTTGACGGTGAACAACGTTCAAAAACCAAATAGAAAACAATGTGGTTCCCTGTAGATTCTAGGTGTTTCCCATGTTTCTTTTTCTAGCCAACGAAAACGATAATCCGATATGATAAGTGCACCTGGAATCATCTTAAACTAATAGTTTAGATCTGCGAAAATATGCTGTGATATACCAGACTTACTGATGGATCATCCACTGAATTCCTTGGGGCACAGTGATAACTCTATGACAAGGAACCCTCTGCAGATTCCACTTTAACATATCTACCTCGACCCTCCGTTTGTAGCCATCAAAATACTGGTTTTACCCCATAATTTGCTGGCATTGTTACCATTTTTGGATGGTATGTGGAGGGTCTAGGTATATAAAAACCATACCACCGCGAGGAGTTTTTTTTGAGTGGATTTCATGTCAGGGCCTGTTCGGAGAGAAGGATGGTTGCCACAAAATCAAACAACCCAACAACTTCAGAGATAGACTCATGACCATTTAAGATTTAAGGCCCAGAGACGACAAGCGCGTCTTGTTGCAGGCCGTTGTCTCCAAGTGCTTCTCACGTGTATGACGTTAAAATGTTTAGTTTTCTGGGATGTTATGCTCATCCACATGGATTAAACATATATATATATGTATATATATATATATATACACATCATTTCACTAACCTAACATAAGATGACATAAGGACATTTGGGATTGTTACCCCTACCAACGATCATTCCAGTGACGTCGCAGTGAGGTCGTTGCAATTCATCCAGCATCCTCCATTACTAAATCCCATTCTTTTCGGACAATAAAAAAAACAGCTGGGATTTAGTCAAGAATTATGGTACAATATGGTACAATATTACTATATATATATATTGTAATTATTATTGTTCCAGAATTATTATATATTGTAATTACCAATATATATATATACATACAATAATAATTACAATAGTAATTACCAATTATTATAGTAATTATATATGGTACAATTAGGGATAATTCTATATAATTACTATAACTCTGATAGTGATCTCGCGTTGCATGCGTCGCGCCTGTGCTAATCCAGGGACGTGGTGACACGGCTGCCATGGCTGGGGCCAGGGGTGGGAACGACTGGAGAACTTCTCTACGTTGCGGCTGTACCCCCTGATGCTCACGTATGCGACTGGGTAGACTAGGTCCATTTGTATATATCGGCTTGTTTTTTTTCAAATACCCTCTGGTAAACTAACATAACTATGGAAAATCACCATGTTTTCATGGGAAAAATTGTGAAAATCAACTATAAATGGCCATGTTCAATAGCTATGTCAGCTATGTTAAATTACCAGGGGGTATGTGTTCATGTTTTTTCCAACTGCAATTTCACAGCCAAGGCTGCCATCTTAAGTCAGACGTCAGGCTTTGTGAGGCTCCAAGAAGACGAACCATTTTTGTCAGTTTGTTTTAATCCATCGCCTTTTTCAAATATCTTCTAGTTTCAACATTTTTCGAATTCAAAAAATGTTTGTTTTTTGAATTCAAAAAAACAATTTCCTTCTAGTTCTTGTTCTTCCCTACATGCAGCGAGCCAGCGATGCTCAAATGCGGCAAAATCACAGGCCGTTCTCACCTCTCGTTCGCCGTTCTATCCGTTCTCAATGGCCTGCTGTACATGACTATGGAATATTGATGACATTGTGCTGGTGTATAATTACTATACGTATATTATATACGTAATATTAATATATATATATATATATATTATATATATATATTATGATATGTGTAACAGAACCTACTACGTATATAGAATGAAGGACATGTAGGATCCACACGAACAAACATCCTCCATCTCTCCTCCCCACAAGCGCACAACTTTTGAGCCAGTAAACGAGGACTTTTCGATCTGGAGGGTTTCACCATGTTTTTCTCAAGGGAATCCATCCAACTAGATGGCATGATGGGGGCTTCCATAGCTATGTAATATCGGACCAAGGGGTAGGAACCATTGAGTTCCGCCATCTAAAAAAACTCAAGCTCAACTCACCCCTACTGGGCCTACTGCCTACTCAACTCAACTCACCTTCGAGTTGACTGACGTGGAAGTACATCCTCAAGCAGCTCTTATTGCATCCTTGGCTTGGCAAAACTGCGGGATGGATCCGAATTTCAAGTCACAAAGCTGTCGATCTCTGGCATTTTTGAGGAGTTTTGAGCAAGCATATTACATATATTACATGTGTACTCTGCCGGATTTTTTTCACATGGCAACCTCTGATTTTTTTCACATGGAAAATCTCAGAAAAGAGGAGGTCCATTTTTTTTGATCTGGTCGATGAGGAACTGATCTGTTCAACAGAAAAAGATCCTTGCGAGGCTTCATCCATTCCACAATCATCACATTATTACTAGTGATATAATTCAACAGATTATGACTACTTATAATTGTATATTGTGATTATATCACTAGTAATTACTACTGTTATATGACACATTATATTTATTCATCACGTGATACACACATGCATCATTAGTCACCATCGATCATGTTTACATAACCACATGAACAAAACTTCATCACCTGGGAAATTCTAGCTGGTTGGTGGTATACCTACCCCTCTGAAAAATATGCTCGTCAGTTCGTATTATTATTCCCAATATATGGAAACAAAAAAAATGCTCCAAACCACCAACCAGCTAGAGAATCTTTTCCAAACCAGATTTAAGGCCGTCTCGGGATGATTTCCCCTACAGCTTGGGAGTACGAACCATCAATTGGCCCGCAATAATTTACCCGGAATTATGTTTAGCCTCTGGTAAATTAACATAGACCCTGGCAAATAGGGGAAAATTAGTTTCAACTAAACAATGGCTATGTTCAGGGTCTATGTTCATTTACCAGAGGGTAGTAATAATATGTAATAATAAATCATATTGAATCAGTATTAAACCATCATTCACCATCGTGCCGAGGATCTTCTCTTCAAGTCCGCTGAGAACAGTTGGACTGCCAAGCCTCTCCGGCAGTCAAGTCTAAGAAGGGAAATCATGAGTTACCCTCTGGTAATGACTAACATAGCTATTGAAAATTGCCATTTATAGTGGATTTACCCATTATAAATGGTGGTTTTCCATCGTTTTTTGTATGTTTAGCAGGCCGGGTACATATCCCAATTTATTGGATCTGATTGACCTGAAATATCTATTTTATGTCCTGAAATGGGGAACTTCCATGAGAAAACAACTTAATTATACCCTCTTGTTATTTAACATAGCCATGGTATAGATGGCCCATAGAAATAGATGATTTTCCCAGCTAGAAACCTCCATTTAGTTCAGGGATTTTCCATGGCTATGTTAAATAACCAGATGGTAAATATAACATCATAGAATAAATAGAAATAGACGAGATACACATGGCTTGTTGGAATTGTCATCAGAATGTGAGATTGAAATATCCTTGTTAGCTCATCAATATTCTACATGTTGTGCCTGTGCCACAGCGACTCCATTCATGACATGTATTCCATTTTGAAATATCACTGTTTACGTCAATAGCAACTGAAATAGGAGGTTTATGGCTAGCCGCAATTAGCATGCAATAGAGTCATATACAGTCTGTATAATGTGGTACCAATAATAAACGATCCCAGCGACCACTATCAGAATCATCCATTTGGGGATCCTGATAGTGATCATCCCAAATAGACAAATGTTCCCAGTACAAACCGGATAATGATGTTCCAAGACCTGCATACTTGTGACATACATTACATCACATCGCATACATACATATGTATTAGATATATACAGATACATAGTATTAGTAGATATATACATAGCATTCTACAGATATATAGAGATATATACAGATATATCCATTATTATATATATTATACAAATACATAGTATTACCCTCTGGTAAACATAAAAAAAACTATGGAAAATCACCATTTTCAATGGGAAAATCCACTATTTCAATGGTCATTTTCAATAGCTATTAGTAGATATATACACATATTATATCTATATACCCAGCAAATTTGTTGGCCTTTCTGGAGCGACCAGAATACAGGACTCCTCGCCGTGCAACGGAGAGCCAGTCGGATCCATGTACGTTATCATATGTGTATATCTAAATATACAGTCTTTTTATTTTATTACATATTATATTATACTATATTATACTAAATTGTATTATATATCATAAATAAAATATATAATATATATAAATATTATACACAAATAATATATATAATATATACATTATATAATGTATTTATATTAAAATATATATAATAATATATATATACATATTATTAAATATATTATATATATATTATAATATAAATACATTATATAATGTATATTGTATACATATTATATAATATATATATATATATATATATCATTATTATTATATATATATATATGAATGTTATTATTATTATAAAATATATAATATATAATATATAATATATAATAAATAAAAAACAATATATAATATATAATATAATATATATACTACATATATTGTATATTATATAAAGTATGTATAATATATATAGATATTATATATTATATATAATACATAATATCTATATATTATAATATATATATTATATATTATATTATATTATTTTATTTTATATATATTATATAAAATATATATTATCTATAATATATATTATACATACTATATTTACATATTATATATATATATTGTATATATTATATATGGTATATATATATATATATACATATATTATATTATATATATGTACTATATCTTATATCATATATTTTATATTATATATATCATATATATATTATATTATATAATATATATTAAAATATATATAATATAGTATATTATATATTATATATAATATAATAGATTTATATACTACATATATTATATATTAGTTAGCACTGTGCTCCCCCGTCTTTCTCATCTAACCGCCCACATTATTATACAAGCAAATTCTATGGGGCTGATACCAAAGACAGGGGAGCAACACCTTGTAGAAAACTATAACATAAATCATAACAACAAAACAACAAAACAAAAAAAACTGAAACAACCTCAACAATACAATAGATTATAAAAAAGACTATACCATAAATCATAACAAAAAAACAATTTCACTTTTATAGTTTTGAAATTATACAATGAAATTTATGTTTGCTGTTTCTTCAAGTTCTCCAGATGCTTTGTGTTTGTGCGTGTCTCTTGTAATTCTTACATTGAATTTCATAATCATCACATACAGGGCAGGTCATCCATTTTATTTTAGCATTCACTTGTTCAATGTTTTCCGCTCTATGATTTCTTCTTCTTTCATTTATTTCTTCCCTGTGTGTCCTACCATAATTTCTAGCATATTCCTTTGCCTCCTCTATATGATTGTAATAATAGTCTCTACTCATTTCATTATATTTTTCTTTGTTCTTTTGATGATTAGCCCTCATATATTCCCTACATTTATCACAAGTTTTGTGTTTACCCTCTTCCATTTCCTTAAAACATTTAGCACACTTGACTTTAGTATCCTCCATTACCTACTATAGATAGGTAATAACTCTTTAAGTGTCTTTCCTATCCCTTTTCCCTAGATTATAACATAATCAACAACAAAATCATAACAGCAAACAACAAAAGAAACAAACAAAACAACATAGACAATACAATCGATTATAAAATAGTCTATACCATAAATCATAACAACAATAGCAAAATCAAAACAACCTACTAATTACAAACAAAATACAAACGAAAACATAACAACAAAACAACAATAACAAAATCCTAACAACCTACTATTAAGAAAACCAATAACATAAACCATAACAAGCTCATCATATCAACCCATCTCATCCGTCTCATCCGTAAAAATTATATAATATAATCATCATAATTGTATTGAATAATGTTCATCAAAGCATATACACATATACATCATCTTACCTTATCTATTTCATAGGTGTTCTTTCTAGAAAACTTATTTGCTTGAAATAGTCCTAGAAAATAATTGCAACATAAATTTAATAGAATTATTTTATCAAATTTATGGGGATAACCAACATAATTTTCATAACCATTTATC